TTTTGAACAGTAGGATTATATAAAATATATAATAAAAAATTATTAAATATAAAAGTATATATAGTTAAAATTACAAAATATACATACATCTATCAATACTTATGTACATTAAAAATCAAATACTTTTGTACTTTTACATGAGTAAAATTGAGAAGGAGCACTTCACACTTTTGCTAGAGTAATATTTTATTAGGGTATCTGTATCTCAAGTACTTGATGTGTGTACTTCGTCCGCATTTCATATATAAAACAGTTTATACATCATGCAATTAGCTTTTTTAAGTTATCATATCATAACTGTATAACACTAAAGTGAAAAAATAACAAAATTATAAAATGACTGATTCACTGTAATAAGCAAGAGTAAAATAAAAATCTGTTTTCATTATATGCACAAATGCAACCTTTAAAATAGGCCTATGCCTATTAATTTTTTCATTTTTCTTCATGACAATCATCTCTGCTTATAAAGTCCGTCTGGTTCATTTTGCTGTTATTGAGCTGATGCGGTCCAAAGACTCCGGTTTATCCTGCTAAATATCACATATTGTCAATGTAATATTATAAATCTAAAATGATGTCTCAGTAAAGATATCATTATTTATAATTATCTGATCGATGTATTACTATTGTAGGCAAGTTTGAATTAGGATTACAACCATGCAACCAATTAAATACTTTTAGTGGAAAGTATGAAAAAGAATGTTTACAAACAGTAAAATAAGTAATCAACTCACATTTGTCTGTGCTAATTCACAGTTATCCAGTAAAAAGTAGAATGTTCTGAATGTATTTTGTAAGATGGCAAGAGGCTAAGAATGGAAGTGGCTTCACCAACATTTCAAAGTTGGGAAACATGGTCAGCTCTACCTAAAGATGGTTAAGCTTTCATGTTGCGATAAGTCTCATGGGTTTGACTCACAGGGAATGCATGAATTGAAAAAAACATCGCTTCAATGTAATGTAAATTACTTTGGATAAAAGTGTTTGCCAAATACATACATGTGAATAGATGTAAGAAATAGCAATTCAATACGTAAATAAATGCAGAAATGTAAATAACTAGTTGCTAGTGAGTTGTGTTTACAGTATATAGTCCTTTTCACAAGACTTTGTTTCAAAGAAGTTTTAAAGAAATTAATAATGTTAATGTTTATAATATCTTAATGCCTTATAGTCCACAATTAGCAGTTTAGAGCTCGGCGACAATATATATTGTATATTGCTTGAGTACGGTATGTCATGTGATGAAAAAGAGGAAGTTGTTTTGCTAGACAGTTCCAGCGGTCAGTTTTCTTAGTAATTGTCAGCAAATGTGTGTGTCTAAAGATGTAACTGATTTTTTTTTGCTTTTAAAGCATTTAATGATTTTAAAAGATGTTTAGCATTGAAAACATTATGCTTTGGCTACTTGTCCTAGAGAAAACTTCTGTTAGCACAATGAAACTACTGGGTGAAAAAACTATTAGCACTGATTATGAACAATCTTTACTCAAAATTAAAAACTCAAATAAGTGAATTTAATGTTTAATGAACATTACAAAAATGATCAATTTAAACTGTTATTTTTTGCATTTTATTTATAAAACACCGTTTATACATCATGCACTTTAAAATCTGTTTTTGTTATATTCACAAATTATGTATGTATAAATTATGTATATTAATTTTTTATTTTTCTTCATAACTTCTGCGTAGAAACCACATGCCACTATTAGTGAAATATTACAAGCTTTTTCTAAGATGATTACAACCAAAAAAATAATAAAGCATAGTATTCCATCATGCTGATGTTAAACTTTGGCAACAGATCATCACAAAACACTGAAAATATATATATATATATAGAGAGAGAGAGAGAGAGAGAAAAAAAAAAACAGGAATCATGAATAAAAGTTAGATGACTTGCTGAGTTTGACTTGATGACTTTTGAAAAGAAATAATGAAATAGTTTTAGAATAGTAATACAATTCGATCAGAAAACTGATGGAGTTCAGAGTTTGAAAACTCTTTCAAAAACACGTCTAATGCCCGGTTCAGACTACACGATTTTAGCCCGATTTTGCCACGATTTGCTTGATGTAGGGTGTCGTGGGGATTCGTAAACGACAATGGGCGTCGGGACGCAAGATTCCATCATTTCAGCTCGTGTAGTGTGTCATAGTGGACGACAACCGAGTACTATTTCTTCTAAAACTTTGCTATCAATTGCTTCAAAAACAGACATGGTAACTTCTTTTTGAAATTGCGGTCGAATCTGTCTGACCTTTGCATAACTTGAGAATGTGCTAATCGCCTTCCTGATATTATTGATCTTCTCAGAAAAGGAGGAAGCAAACTCATTGCAAAGAGGAACTTGTTGTTTCTAATTAATTGCCAGTAAATTTGTGTCTAAAGATAAGACCATATTGTAAAATAATATTTACAATTTTTAAATGACAAATTTTAAATATTGTTTTAAATAAAAAGTCATAATTTCTATTTTTATTAAAGCAGTTCATAATTTGACAATCACCATCTAGGCCTAAATAAAATAAATACAATTTCCATGAAAATAAACTCTTTAAATCTGCCTATTCAGTGAATGTGTTACATGAACAACCATTTTCTCCATATTAGAATATTTCCGCCGAGCGTTTGTGGCTCTGTGATTGGCGGTCCAGCTGTGAAATTACAGAGGGCCGAGCAATAGCAAATCAATGGGAGAGTAATTTCAAATGACAGAAAAAATTGACCAATCATATCTTTCCTCTAAATGGACGGGCCTTGTTATCACTAACTTTATGACAAGTTCCGCTGTGGGGAACTCTATGGAAAAAGAAAATACGGTGATAAACTAGCTATTATTCACGTCACGATCGAAGCCACAAATAACATAACTGAGGACATTTACTAGGCCGCTGTGCCAATAATAATATTATTTATTATAAACACTGTTTGTGTTGAAGTGTCTGTCTCTAAGTTGTTTTGCTGTGAGCGCTGTCGTGATGCGTTGGCTTAAACACACAGTACATGTGTTGGTTTTGTGCACAGACCGATTGTGTGATGATGATGCCTTTGTAATGAGGATTTTCATTTGACTTAAATTTAGCTATGTTTTATTTTGCTGATATCATTCACTCTCGCTGTGCTGTTTTCTTGTTGCATTTCAGAAAGCCGGTCGCAGACCAGACGAGAAGCGAGAAGTTCAAGATGGCAGTCCAAAACCTTTAATCTAATCACCAAACAGTCAAAAGTTCACTTCAAGAATGACCCAGTGTCAATGAGTTTGAAGTTCAGTGATTGAAAAAACAGAGCAAACGCGATCTATTGCAGTCTATATGAAGCACAGACTTTTTAGAGTCACAGAAAGACACTGACAAATGCACAATACACAATCTTCCAGCCTAGTATGAAGTCATTATGTGCATTAACAATAATTTGGGACAAATATAATGCAATTTATTGCAAAACTATGTGAGTGGCGTTGTGGCAGGATTTTGAATTTGAACAGCGCTCAGAGTCGCAGCTGGGATCCGCAGACAGTCGCATAGAAAACAATGTGTTTGAATGTTAAAGATACGGTGCGGCGCGTGACCATTAGCCTTGTGTTTCAAAGGTGGAATTGTCAAAGACGACTTTTAGAAGAAGACACCATAAGCTAGGCTGGTAGTTTGTTTTTTTCCTCTGACGAGGGTAAGGGGACAGGGCCTACTGGATAAGACTGACGTAATATTCATTCACACACTGTAAAAAATGACCGTGAATTTAACGGTAAAAGACTGTAAAAATGCTACAGTAAAAACCTGTTAAATGGTTAACGGTAAATTCCCCTACTATATACGGTGAAATTACAGCAAAGCATTTGGAAACTTAAAATATGTCATCTGTAATTTAATTTAACGAGTGTCTCCTGGTCACTTTCCTGTCATGACGAAAAAGAGGAAATTGTTTTGTTCAGGGTTGCCAGGTTTTCACAACAAAACCCACCCAATTGATACTCAAAACTTGCCCAATCACGTTCCGGGGGGTAAAATACATGTAAAATACACGTTTGTGGCGGGGTTCACCTGGTAAAATTCACATTCCAGGGGCTAAATATCACGTTATTGGGATCGCTTCAACCCGCAGACAACACACAGAAGCTGGGCAACAACATATTAAGTAAGGTATGTCCTGATGAAAAAGAGGAAGTTGTTAAAATCGGTTTTCTTAGTAATTGTCAGCAAATGTGTGTCTAAAGATGTAACTGCTTATTTTTTGCTTTTGCTTTTAAAGCATTTAAAGGGGTCATATGATGCTGCTAAAAAGAACATTATTTTGTGTATTTGGTGTAATGAAATGTGTTTATGCGGTTTAAAGTTAAAAAAACACATTATTTTCCACATACTGTACATTATTGTTTCTCCTCTATGCCCCGCCTTTTTGAAACGCGTCGTTGCATTTTATTTATAAAACAGTTTGTACATCGTGCAGCTGCATAACACAACAGTGAAAAAATAACAGCACAATTATAAAATGACAATCACTGTAATATGTATAAGTAAAATAAAATGTTTTTGTTATACTCACAAATGCAACCTTTAAATTATGTATATTCATTTTTTATTTTTCTTCATAACTTCTGCGTAGAAACCACATGCCACTATTAGTGAAATATTACAAGCTTTTTCTAAGATGATTACAACCAAAAAAATAATAAAGCATAGTATTCCATCATGCTGATGTTAAACTTTGGCAACAGATCATCACAAAACACTGAAAATATATATATATATATAGAGAGAGAGAGAGAGAGAGAAAAAAAAAAACAGGAATCATGAATAAAAGTTAGATGACTTGCTGAGTTTGACTTGATGACTTTTGAAAAGAAATAATGAAATAGTTTTAGAATAGTAATACAATTCGATCAGAAAACTGATGGAGTTCATATCTTCACTACAGTGAGTGGGTTTGCTGTGACTGAGTGGTTTGTGTCATTTGTGTTCACTCCTCAGAGAAAACTCTTTCAAAAACACGTCTTAGAGAAAGTTTAATGATGCTCTTGAAATCCTCATGAAAACATACAGAACGGGGTTCAGGCAGCTGTTGAAATACGCCAAAGAGACGGCCAACGGATCCACTGCCAAAGCTAAGACACTTGATTGCCCTCCATATATTATTATCAAATCTACTATGTGATACGGCAGCCAGCAGAGAAAAAAGGCCACAATTACAGCCAACATGATGCGAGTCGCTCGTCCAGAGTGAAAAGTACTCCTGCCTAACTTGCGTGCGATGAATCCGTAGCATGTTGTGATGCATATGAGAGGAATCAAAAACCCAAACACAAATCTGATGACGCTTAACCTTCTATACATTTTATAACGGTCTAAATCAGGTTGATAATGCATGCAGTATGTTTTATTATTTACTGTCAAAGTCTCTCTTAACATCATAAAAGGCAGACTGAGAAATAAAGCCAGAATCCAGGCCGCTGCGCAGGACAGTCGTGCAATGAACAGGCTGCGATGATTCTGAGCCCAAACCGGTGTGATCACCCGAGTAAACCGATCCAGACTAATCAAGTTCAAGGTGAAAACACTGGCAAACATGGTGATGAGCATAACGAAGGGGAGAATCTTGCACATGATGGATGCATACGTCAAGTAATCATAAAAATCGCTCTCGATCACATAGTAAAGAGTGGAAAGGCAGCACAAGAGGTCGGCAATGGCTAGATTGAGAAACCCTACTGTATTAGCAGTCCTCTTCATCTTCAATCCAGCAACATACACGACAAATGCATTTCCAGGAACACAGAGGATCAAGGTCAGGTAGTAGAAGACCAGAAAACTCACTCTCATCGGATTTTCCAACATTTCTAAATAATTCCCCATTGCAGTGTTTGAGCTGAAGTGCCTTGTTTATCCTGCTAATATCACATTTTGCCAATATAAAATCATAAATCATATTTAAAGTGTCAGATAAGAAACTTTTATAGCTAAATGATTATATGAGCAATGCATTTCTATTATCGGCAAAGCTGAATTATGATTACAAACATGCAACATGCTATGTTAGCATTACTTAAAAGTACAAAAAATCATATAAATAACTCTAGGTAAGTAATCATGACTCACGTTGTGATGATTCGATTCACAATTATTCTGGTAAATGTTTTCTTCTCTAATGTTCAAGACTTTATACCGCTTCTATTTTATTACGTCATCATGCTTCAGCAACATTTCAAACATGGTTGAGCTGTGAAGCATCATGACCAACTCTGTAAAGCTGGTTAAGCCTGCTTATCGCACAAGGTTATACACAAAATACTGATGTTAGACTAAAATAGCAATTTAACATGTAAATAAATGCAGAAATGAAGTCAACCAATTGCAAGTCAATTTTATTTACATAGCATTTTTATGTACAATTGTTTACAGAAATTCATAAGGATAATTTATAATATATTATTGTTTGTTTGTAATTTAATATTGTATTTAATATATATTTATAGTATAGAGAGCTGGACAAGGATAGTTTACATTGGATGAGGATATAAATGATCAATCAATTGAGATTTCCTATATAGTACTGCTTTATGTGAGTATATGTATAACAGTCATCATTTTAGGTTATTGCGGGTTATTAAATCTGCAAAGTTTCATTCTGAATTTTAAATGCTTTATGCCAAATAGTTTGTTGGTGGTTTGAGTTTGAATGGCTTTTAACATGTCATTGGGAGATTTTCAAACATATTTTTAAACCCTTTTATCCAAATCAATGCTGCCATTTTCAGCACAAATAAAGAGTCATGTTATGTCTAATGGAGCAGAAGTGGTGAGGAAGCCGCTTGTGTGAGAGATTAATGGTGCCTTCACGTGCTATCGGAAATGTCCTATTTTATTAAATCTGCAATGTTTCATTCTGAATTTTAAAATCTTTATGCCAAATAGTTTGCTGGTTGTTTGAGTTTGAATGGCTTTTAACATGTCATTGGGAGATTTTCAAACATATTTGTAAACCCTTTTATCCAAATCAATGCTGCCATTTTCAGCACAAATAAAGAGTCATGTTATGTCTAATGGAGCAGAAGTGGTGAGGAAGCCGCTTGTGTGAGAGATTAATGGTGCCTTCACGTGCTATCGGAAATGTCCTATTTCCCACTTGAGAAGTCGTGATTACGAGCTTGTCGTATTCAAGTGCTTTGTTGTCGGAAAGAATAAAATGTAGCATCCCATTGGTTGACAATCATATAAACACTCACCGCGCTACATATGCAGTTTGCTGACAATTCTGGAATTTCGGTCAAATACATGCTTATTTCACTGCGTATAAAACATACAATATGCTATGAATGATCGTTCATATATAGCCTATAAATACACTACTTTAGCGACAAGACAAAGGGATGTAGTTGTTGTGAGAACAGCATTGACAGCAGCAATGGTTGTCCCCTCCACCATGTTTAAAGATTATGACCCGCCCAACTCGGAAACTCTGGTATCAAAAAATTCAGAATTTCCCAGTAGTAAATACGACTTGAGAGGCGTTCACGTCTAATTTCCTATTAGGAAACTCCTATTTACAATAGTTCCGATAGCACGTGAACGCAGTGGCGACTCGTGGGTTTTAAAATAGAGGAGGCACACTAATTGTATTGGTCTGGGATCCCTGCCGATTATTATTATAATTATTATTTGCTTAACCACTTTAAAATGGCTTTTTGATTGCTTTTAGTCAGAAAACTTAAAGAAAACGACACACATACAGCAAGATAATATAATTTCTACAAAAAAAACGAGCTACTGTCTGTAGCCTATGTGTGTATGGTACAGTGCAGCAGCACATTAGATTAGAACGGCGTTTAACTTACTTATACAATAAGCTGTTTAAAACAAATGGTGCCTTCACGTGCTATCAGAAATTTCCTATTTCCCACTTGTGAAGTTGTGATTACGAGCTTGTCGTATTCAAGTGCTTTGTTGTCGGAAAGAATAAAATGTAGCATCCCATTGGTTGACTAGTCGATTAGTCGGTGCAACCCCTAATTTATTGTGACGCATGTATTCTCTCCTCAGAGAAAACTCTTTCAAAAACACGTCTTAGAGAAAGTTTAACATTGCTCTTAAAATCCTGCCCAATGAAAATGGGGTTCAGGCAGCTGTTGAAATACGCCAAAGAGACGGCCAACGGATCCACTGCCAAAGCCACCAGGACACTTGATTCCTCTCCATATATTATTATCAAATGCACTATGTGATACGGCAGCCAGCAGAGAACAAAGGCCACAATTACAGCCAACATGATGCGAGTCGCTCGTCCAGAGTCTCTCTTAACATCATAAAAGGCAGACTGAGAAATAAAGCCAGAATCCAGGCCGCTGCGCAGGACAGTCGTGCAATGAACAGGCTGCGATGATTCTGAGCCCAAACCGGTGTGATCACCCGAGTAAACCGATCCAGACTAATCAAGTTCAAGGTGAAAACACTGGCAAACATGGTGATGAGCATAACGAAGGGGAGAATCTTGCACATGAAGACAGATTCATACGGCCAGTTTTCTTCGAGAGAGTTCTCTGCCACATAGTAAAGAGTGGAAAGGCAGCACAAGAGGTCGGCAATGGCTAGATTGAGAAACCCTACTGTATTAGCAGTCCTCTTCATCTTCAATCCAGCAACATACACGACAAATGCATTTCCAGGAACACCGAGGATAAAGGCCAGGTAGTAGAAGACCAGAGAACTCACTCTTGTAGATTTCCTCAGCTCTGCATTAAAACAATCCAGACAATCATCTTCATAGAAATAGTCATAATAGTCATAAAAATCTTCATATGACAGGTTCATTTTGCTTGAGTTGCTGCTGTCCAAAGTGCTCTGTTTATCCTGTAAATATCACATATTATCATACATTTATTTAATTTATTCATTCATAAGATTTTTTTTTCCAAAGTCACTTACAAATAAGAAAAAAAACAAGAAATTTTACAGACAACTAATCAATATTAAACAATCAAATTTGCATTTAAATAAATATATTACTCCATACATTTAATTCAAATCATTCACTATGCAATCACTTGTATGTCAATGTTAATATTTTTTTAATCATACTCGATTTTTACAGATCAGAAATCAATGCCTTACAAACTTGTTCTGACCTCAACAGCTGCTCTGTATTTACTAGCAATACTTAACCTGCTTACCACTATGAAGGAGAATGACAGCAATGGAAGAAAGTTCTACTGACTTGATGAAAAAACTACAAAGAACTCTTAGGGTGACTGCATCAATATTCTTTTCATGTGACACAAACTAAAAGATTTCTGAGAAAACTTTTGATGATGCAATCTCCCACACTCTCTTTCCTCTTTTAAAGAGAAAAATCACAAGAAAAGCACAGAGTAATTACAGCTGTGGTTATCCACAACTTGTTTGAATTCATAATGTTCATTTATATTATAAAATTGTATTCTGCAATGTAAAATAGTATATAACATGTATTTATAATAGAAAGAGCTAAGAATAGTTCACATTATTTAAATGATCAGTTAAGATTTTCTATATGTCGTGTCTTCTCTGTTTAGCAGGCAATAATCAGCACTGACGACGAATTACAGTTTTTTACGATTGCTTACACACTAAAATTAAACTTTTCCAACAATTAGCAAAACCTTACACTCAAGGAGCAAAACACAAGGCTAGATTTGCACAACAAAAGAACGGTTTACTGAAGTTTGGTGCAGGATTACACAGGGATGAGTTCACTTAAGCAGCACACACACACATACTGCTGTTCACTCGGTTCTCTTCCTTCTAGCGTGCTCTCAGTACTGCACAGCATTTCTTAAAGCTGAACAGCCCAATAAACGACTATATAAACTTTCCGTGGTTATTATTGAAAAACAATGAATTAAACACTAAACATACTAAACATTCTCACTATTAGTGCATGTGGACAGAGCAACATAAGCCTTGCATAGCACACGATCAGTGTTGCCTACTGCTTTAAACTGAAAGTAGCTAAAACTGGTAGCTAAATGTCACTAGATGGCAAATTCACTGATCTATATAAAGATGAATGTAGATCAGTGGGCAAGATGAGAACTTAGATAAGGTTTGTCCAAGAAGTTGCTATATTTGTCCCTAAAGTTTTGGAAAAAGTCTCAAAAGGGGTGGGGAAGTCGCTAAATCTAGCTACAAAGTAACTAAATTGGCAACACTGCGCACGATCGCTCTTCACATACAGCAGACCTGCAAAGTCTATGCCAATCACTTTAAATGGAGGGGTCTCTGTTTTTCTGTCTCGTGGCAATGGAGCCTCCAGGGAGGGTCTGTGTTTTACCAAATACCTTTCACTTCTTAATAATAGACCTCGCTGTGCTTCTAGGCATTGATAAAGCCTTTGAAATATTTTTGTCTTCATCTCTTGACTTGTGTCAGTCCACAACTTTATACCGGAGATCTTTTGACAATGTCTTGCCACTAATAGTTGATTGTTTGCTTCAGTTGCACTACTAAGAACTGAAATGCTCCAGGAAAGCTCTTTTCATGCTCAGCTGATCAAAATGAGCACAGCTGATCACAGTTGAAAGCCAGATGGCTTTCTGTGTTATTCCAGAAGGTGATTAGCTACAGTTTACAAGTGGTTTATAGTAGGTGGTGATGCTTTTTCCAACTCAGTGATTCTGGTTTTTATTTTCTTCTAACATGTTAGTGTTTTATCTTTCACTTGGATGTTGCAAGTTGTATGGAGTAAATACAGCTGGATAAAACAAAAACTGTGTCCTTCTTCATTTCAGGCTGCAAAGCAATAAAATGTGATTATTTTAACTAGATGCTGCATTAGTAAAGCATGGACTGAGAGGATGCTAACATTAGTAGAAGGACCTCAAGTGGTTAAAACAATGTAACGAACATACTCTCAAGTCTGACCCAACTGGATATGTATGTTTGATATTTACGACTCATGATCAGGCTGCCTCTGACATGATACCCGCGATAGCCAATGAGAGTGAGCGTCACCTACTCTTTATGAATCATGAGTATGTTGGCTACCATAGCTATAAACTTTACCTCACAAGATTTGAAAATCGTCTAGTGTGTCCCAGGCCTTAGTTTGTGTCCAGTTGGTCTCTTTGATGCATTCGTTAAGTCAGCGAAGTTGCATACGTATTTAAAGCTAGTGAAGGAAGGGGGGGCCCAAAAAATTGTTTTGCCTATGTCACGATAAGAGGTAAATCCGGCCCTGTTCATCTGAAAGAAGAAAGTCACATACACCTAGGATGCTTGGGTGAGTAAAACACCGGCTAATTTTCATTTTTGGGTGAACTAACCCTTTAAAACTGTAAAACCCTTTAGCTAATCTTGATGTTTACATAATTGACGTAAACTAGTCCACTCACCATTTGGCGAAATTCAACAGAGGATGCACAGTTTCATAATAAATTTAATTGAGAATTGCCAATTAAGAAATGAAAAACATTCTAACATAAAACTAAATTCCTTCTCTGCAGATTATTTTGCACTAAATGAGAGTTTCTTAACTTCCTGACCAAAAAAAAAAAAAAAAGCAAAGGATTAGATGTTTCCTGCCAAAATGTGCTAAGATAAGCTATTTGTGGCATGTTGTTTTGCATAGGCCTATATTAAGTTTCAGTTTTAAAATAAATAATTTTTGTTAAGATACTTGACAAGAGTATTTGATCTAGACAATTATTCTGGTAAATGTTTTCTTCTCTAACTTTATACCGCTTCTATTTTATTACGTCATCATGCTTCAGCAACATTTCAAACATGGTTGAGCTGTGAAGCATCATGACCAACTCTGTAAAGCTGGTTAAGCCTTCTCATCGCACAAGGAAATTCATACATTGAAAAAATACTGATGTTAGACTAAAATAGCAATTTAACATGTAAATAAATGCAGAAATGAAGTCAACCAATTGCAAGTCAATTTTATTTACATAGCATTTTTATGTACAATTGTTTACAGAAATTCATAAGGATAATTTATAATATATTATTGTTTGTTTGTAATTTAATATTGTATTTAATATGTATTTATAGTATAGAGAGCTGGACAAGGATAGTTTACATTGGGTGAGGATATAAATGATCAATCAATTGAGATTTCCTATATAGTACTGCTTTATGTGAGTATATGTATAACAGTCATAATTTTAGGTTATTGCGGGTTATTAAATCTGCAATGTTTCATTCTGAATTTTAAATGCTTTATGCAAAACAGTTTGTTGGTGGTTTGAGTTTGAATGGCTTTTAACATGTCATTGGGAGATTTTCAAACATATTTGTAAACCCTTTTATCCAAATCAATGCTGCCATTTTCAGCACAAATAAAGAGTCATGTTATGTCTAATGGAGCAGAAGTGGTGAGGAAGCCGCTTGTGTGAGAGATTAAATGTGTTGAGCAGATAAACACGTCCATCTGACTAGATTAACCACTAAACAGTCACAGAAATTACAAAGCATAATGATAAGATTTGTACAATGTGGTCAATAAAAAGAAATGTTATTTTTTTATAGGCCAAGTAATTAACATGTTTTATGGCGTATAAACCAACAGATGAAACACTTTTGACAGCCAATAGAAGATTGTTGATGTACACTCTTTTATTTGAGCAAAGTTAAACAACTCTTGCCTCTGTAAAAGAGTGATGACAATCAAGTCTCTAACTTTCATGGCTGATGAGAACTATTTTTGGTTTCGTTTTAATGCTTTTGGGAAGTTGACATGCTGTGGGGTGACATGCCAAACCCCCTCACCTAAAACTATTTTAAAGAGCATTTTGCTTATTTTTAAATAAATATTATGCATTTATGAGATCATATTAATTGAAAGACTATGTAATATTGCTAGGTTTAGTACACTGCAGGAGCGTTTAAAATGAATAGGGATGGGAAAATAGTGATTAAAATGAAGAACTGAAAAGAAATGGTTACCAGTTGCAGGACCTGAGATCTAATACACGTTCATTGAAGGGTTAGTTCACCAAAAATGAAAATTAGCCTGTGTTTTACTCACCCTCGACGCATCCTAGGTGTATGTGACTTTCTTCTTTCAGACGAATCATATCGGAGTTATATTAAAAATTGTCCTGGCTATTCCAAGCTCTATCATTGCAGTCAGTGGGTGTTTCATTGAACAGTCCACAAGACGTCAAATAAAGTGCGCGCATCCATAATAAAACATGCCTCACACAGCTCTGGGGGCTGAATAAAGGCCTCCTGTAGCAAATCCATGCGGTTTCATAAGAAAAATACCCATATTTCAAACGTAATAAACACTTTTCTCTCACTTCCGGTATCTGTCATACGCGGAAGGCATTCCGGCGGATGACATAAGTCAAGTCAAGTCAAGTTTATTTGTACAGCGCTTTTCACGATACAAATCATTGCATCGAAAATAGCAGAGTACCTAGGACAGATCCTTGTGGCACTCCATATTTTACTGGTGATAATTGAGATGACTCCCCATTTAAATGAACAAGGTGGTAGCGTAAGACGTCTGCGTTGCGTGATTAGTGACGGAGAGAGAACAAAACAAAACACCGGTCACGAATTAGAAGTACAAACCAAAGATTTGTAAAGAAGAATGTCGGAGGATTTCAATATAAGCCAAGAGGAGACTGGTTTTCCTTTGCTAAAGTAAGGAAACTTTGCTTCAGAGAAAAGTGTTTATTACGTTTGAAATATGGGTATTTTTCTTATGAAAACGCATGGATTCGCTTCAGGAGGCCTTTATTCTCCCACACAATGAAAAGATATATAATATTTTTGTTATACTATGGGCTATCTACAACAGTAAAAGAACAAAAACACCAGAA